TTTTCAAAGCAGGAACAAACCCCAAATGTAAGGCATTTCTGAAATAGTTTTTTTTTTTTTTTTTTTTTTTCTTAACTATAGGCTTAATTTCATAAATAATCTTACTTGGTTCTAGTATTTGTGTTAATTTTTCCTTTTTTAAAACACACTAAAGGAATTCACTAAAGTTTTATCACAACAAGTTCAAAGACTAATGGATTCATTGAGATAACTAATTTTTCCTCCCAGATTCAAGAATTAATTAAAGAAGTAAAAGGTAGAATATTGAGTTTCATCACCTTTTTTGGTTTAATTTGAATGAAAAAGAAGTAGAGAATGTGCAGTTTTAGATGTGTTGAAAAGGGATTCTGAGTCTCTGGTAACCTAAGTAATTAGCCATCATCATCTTTAAGAGGAAAGTAACTATGGTAGGTAAAAGTGTTGGTTAGAAGTCAGGATGCTTGAGTTCCAGCTGTACTACAAACTAGTTGCATAGTCTTCAGCAAGTCACCTCTCACTTGGAGTTTAGATTAGTTCAGATCAGTGGGCAGTGGAACCCATTGCCATCTAGTTGATTCCAACCCATAGCAACCCTAGGACAGAAAGAGTTCTGATCTGGGCCTATTGTGCTAAGAGTAGACCTGCTCCTTAAGGTTTCTAAGGCTGTAATATTTACGGAATCAGACTGCCACATCTTTCTTCCAAGGAGCAGCTGGTGGGTTCAAACCACCACCTTTTGATTGGCAACAGAGTACTTTAATCACAGTGCCACTAGAGCCCATTTATGGGCAGTGGATGGAGGCTGCAAAGAGGCTTTGGCCAAATTCCACTCATTCCATCCCCACTGCCACCATGTCACTCTCAAATACATCATATTCCATTGAATTTAGGACAGTGTTGGTTTTAACTGAAGATGCACTATTATTTTCCATTCCACTGGGAAAGAAAAATTGCTTCCAAATAAATCATGACATCAGTTACAAGAAGCATCCCAACTTCAGAGAATTTAAAGTGTGAAAAAAAATCTGCATCTTAGAATTGATAAAACCAGCATAATTAAGCACTTCCTCTGTGCTAGGTAATGAAAGACTTCTGATTTGGGCCTATTGTGCTAAGTGGAGTCTAGATGACAAGACTCAGAGAGTTTAAGGGACTGGGCACTAGTGCATAAGGCTGGTAGAACAGGAAGACTCAAAGCCTGATCCTCTGATTCCAAGTTTGCTTTTCAAGTTCACTATATATGACTAACCCCAAGAGGAGGTAGTAAGATTTTGAAGGGAAATGCCTGTAAAATGAAGACACAGGCATTCAAACGGAAATTGCTTCTATTGAAAATACACCTATTATGTCTTCAGTTGAAAAAGGACTCTTTGTGATGCTTTAATCTTTTGGGTTGCATTTGTGGATTCATTCAAAGAGTATCATCTTCAAACACAAAATAGCATAGTTTGTACATATACACACAATATCTGTATATATGCATATATAAACACATAATACATATATTTATTATTGATTTCTACCATAAGTAAGATTATTAAGGTAAACATTTTGAGTAGAAAAGAACTCAGTTTCTGTCACAGTTTCTACTTCAAAGTATTCTTTAAATCCCTTCACTCCACTCAGATTCACTTCTGAGTACCAGAAATCTGAAAGAGAAATATATAAGGTAGGAACTAGCAATCCAAAGCAGAGCCCAGGGCATGAATTCATGTTTCTAAATTGGAACCAAGAAACAATTGCACACATTCTCTGAATACAGTGGG